TGTGACTTGGAATCTGAACCATTAAACAAATCAAATAAATATTTTGCAGGCAACTCTACGAGTTCAATGCCAATTTATGAAATTGCGATTAGGTGGGATTATCAATGTTTTCTATGGAATGACAAGGGTGAATGACTAAAGAGAATGTCCATAGAGTTTAATGGGAAGTAGAATATTAACTAATTTGCAGGCAAATCTGTGTTACATAGCAAATTAACCTTTGCCACAGGTTTTCCCTAAGTACAGCAGCGGATTGTAACTTTAAAAGTAACTGGGATTATAGCTCTCTTCTATGGAATGACAGGTAAATGATACAATGGCATGCCCATAGAGTGTATATATGAACTCTTTTGAAAGGAAATCTGAAAGACATAGCAAGTTAAACATAGCATCCCTCCTTAGACAACTTAGACTACAGCCCCTAACCCCCTACTACAGATCCTACACCCGACTACAGTCCTTTAGTCCCCACTACACCACCCATACTCTACTTTAACCCCTTACCCCTACATCAGCCCCTTACTGTAAAACTGCAGCCTCCATACCCTACTACAGCCCCAAACCCCCTACTAAAGCCCCTTTAATCCAACAGCAGCTCCTAACCCAACTGCAGCTCAAATCCCCCACTACAGCCCTAAGCATCCTACTACAGTCCCATACCCCCACCCCCACTGCAGCACCTATCCCACACTACAGTACCTACCCCAAATGTAGCCCAGATCCCCCACTACAGCCTCTAACTTCCCTTCTACAGTCTCTATCCCTCTAACTACAACCCCTATTCTCTTACCACAGTCCCTACCCCCCCACTACAGCCAATCTTATCCAATTGCAGCTCATATCCCCCAAACTACAGCCATTCCCCAATTCAGCCCCTAACTCCGTACAACAGCCCATATCTCCCCACTAGATATCCTACCCCACCCAATTACAGCCCATACCCTCCATTGTACTGCAGTCCCTACCTTCCCAATATAGCCCCTAACCATCCTACTACAGTCCCTACCTCCCCACTACAGCACCTTTCCCCCAATAAAGCCACTACAGCCCACTAACAGTGCTTCTTCCATTATTAGGTTCTGGACCTGCCCCTGGCTCTAATAAGCTATTTGGGCATGCCAGTGGCACTAATAAGCCATTTGAGCACATAGATGGCACTGATTAGCTATTTTGGGACACAGATGGCACTGAGTAGCGATATGGGGACAGAGATAGCACTGGGAACCAGCACTGATAAGCTTTTTGGTGGAAAAGCTGGCACTGTAGTAAGTGGGTAACATGCTACCTGGTGAAGTTGGGGAGCCCAAAGAGTAGGAGTAGTTTCCACAGAAAATAGGTGTGGTCAAACATGTTATGTTTGTGAAGGGGGATAGTTATATAGACATGCCTACCTGGTTGTTGCCAAAAGTATTATTGCACCCAGCCACCAGTGACCCTGGGATCTGCTCTGCCCTTTTAGGAGGGCATACATTCAGTGGAATGCATAATAAGAACATTGTGCTGTATATGACAAACAATACTGTTTTGTGTTCGACAAATGTATCTACAAAAACACATCATATAAATTAAGCATACCAACCCACAACTCTTATTCTTTGCAATGAGTGTACCTGCATTACCTATGGACCTTGGACGTAAAAATAACATCTGAGGAAAGGGATTTGTAAGTAATTATTTCAGATGTAGAAAAGAGCTATAATCCCAGTTACTTTTAATTTACAATCTGCTGCTGTACTTGGGGAACACCTGTGGTAAAGATGAATTTGCTACATAACACAGATTTACCTGCGAGTGAGTTTGTGTTGCCTCCCATTATTGTCTATGGGCATTCTCTTTAGTCATTCACTATTGTCATTCCATGGAAAACAATGATAATCCAACTTAATCTCAATTTCATAAATTGCCACTGAACTCTTAGAGTATGCGTGCAAAATATTTACTTGATATGTTTCACAGTTCAGATTCCAAGTCACATATTGCTTCCCATTGTACTCTATGGGCATTCCATTGCATCATTTACCTGTCATTCCATAGAATAAAGCACATATTTACCGGCAAATGAGTTTATATTTTACTTCCCATTATACTCAATGGTCATTCTCTTTAGTCATTTACCCTTGTCATTCCATAGAAAACATTAATAATCCCACCTAATCTCAATCTCAGTTTCAAAAATTGACACTGAATCTGGAGAGTATTTTAGCAAAATATTTATTTCATATGTCTAATAGTTTTGTCTCTGATTGAAATATTTTGTTTCCATTATTCTCTATGGGCATTCCTTTTACTTTCATTATGGTCTATGGGCATTCCAATCTGTCATTCCTTTTAGTATGTCCCTTTTACAACATGTTGAATTATTGAACAAAATTCAGACCACAAGGTCACTGGGGGGCTGCGCGTCCTGAAGGGACCCTACACACCAGATGGCCACATGTCTCACTACTGCCTAGAGGCTACAGGGTAGGCATGGGGAATAGACAAACAAAACACAACCACGGGGGGGCATGCAAAACCACCCAACGTAGAAATGGTACATATCCAATATAACAGAGTACTAAGCACCACCATGTAACACGGGACCTGCGAGTCCACAATACACATGCTATTTACTCAAGAAAGCGACCTGCGAGTCGCCCAGACACGTATGTCATCACATGCCTTCCGATGTATAAGCTTCTGTGAATGACCAGAGGG